CTACCATTACATGGGGTTGCTGGGAGAAAAGATTGAGTTTACACTTAAGTTTTTCCAGGAGCAGCACAAAAAATCTGGTGGTATTCAAGAGCAGAAATAATGACTTTGAGGGTACCTGTTCTGTCACTTAATTTCCTGTTAAGGAAAAGAAGATGCAGCTTTGTGGCTTAGTGTGGTATTGGCCAGTGGAAAGGCTTTGGGCAGAGTATGTATCTCAATGAGGTTTGGTTGCAAATTACATGTGCATCAGTATTGCTGCAGGTGCTCTGTGGGCTAGTGAGCAGGAAAAGGAGCCCTGGCCAGCAGGCGAAGCTGACCAGGCTGTCAGTGATGTTGACCCACCAAGCTTGAGGGCATTTCATGGAACTGATTACAGATCTATGAAGCCCAAGGAGGAACCTTAAAAGACCATTCTTCTTGTGCCTCAATATGCTTTAAAAAAACCCGAAAACAACAGAAAACCACATAGCCACAAAGTACTGTCATTGTATGACTGAATGTAGTCGCAAATGCTTTCTGAGAAGATAGTGGGTGATACCTGATATGCATAATTTCCTACCATGCATTTTCTGTTTTAAACATTTTGATTACCTGCAAATAAAATGAAATAAAATTGAATCTTTCAGTATTATTAGAGAATGATATACTTTATCTGTGTGTTTAGACAAAATGTTTTTTGCTTTTGTTAGCAAGCATTTAAAAACCTTTGATTTGTTTGAGGTTTTTTTGTCAGTGCTCAAAGCATTGAAAGCAAGCCCTTAGCACGTTACAACACTGTTGCACTGCTGAGAACAGCGCAAGTTGTTCACAGGCCTGTGTTGCACAAAGGTATAAATAATCTCAGTTATTCTCCATCAGATGGGAAGGAATGGATAACCACATCCTTTACCATACCTTGTATGAGGAAGCTGGTAATACAGAGTGCTTCCCCAAATGGAGAAGCTGAGAACTGGACCTTGGTTCACCTGCTTCCCCACTGGTTCACAGCATCAGAACTGCTGGGCTTGGATACACAGTACCTTTTTGCTTCTCGCCATCTCTACAGCCCACAGTCCCAGAATGAACAGTTTCCATAGAGCATGGAAACAAAGAAACTTCCTTTTTGTTACTTTTTTTTCTCCCCCTGTTGTTCTGCAGCTTCAGTCTCGACACCTTTTTCTCTTAAGCTCCTGCAAGAAATACTGGAACTGAGAAACAGGTGAAGATGGCTGAGATGTTTACTGTTGAGTGTAAGAAAAGTGCAATGCTACTCAGCTTTCCTAAGTCTGGGAATTGTTTGTTATAGCCTGGTTGATATCTCCCAGTGGTAGAGGACCAGAAAAAGTAAACCTACTTATTGCTGTGGCTTGTGTTGCCTAGGAGAGTATCACAGCATGCCCTGTATATTGAAAGGAATGAGCATGGGAAGATTTGGCTGTGGTAGGAGGTAAAAATTACTTGACAGATGTGTTCTGGTTAGATGGCTCACTCTGTGGCTTAACCTGGCAAGCCACAGGAACCTAAAACATGTCTTAATTCTCTCAGAATGCAGAAGTGACTGTCTTGAGATGGTGGTGTTGCCTTGAGCATGTGTGCCTTTTTGATGTAGAGTGTTTTAAAACCAGTAATGCAAGTGATGGGCCCTGTCAAGCAAGAACTGAAAGCTTTGAAATGTTAGCTGTAGATGCTTTATCTGTAAGTGTGCTCTGCTCAAGATACTGGCAATTAAATTAGCTGATGTGTTCATATTTTAATGCCTTGAAGTTGCACCACAGGTTTACAGTGTCATTATTGATTAATTATTTTATGCACAGCAATCAAAGGACCTAATCTTCTGAATTGTCACCTTCCCTCCTTCTCCCTCTCTTTCCTCGTTCCCCCCCATCCCAATGTGTGGGAAGAGATGCCACTCTGAAAAGGAGAGCAATTTCAGGCATTGTGCTGAAGGCTGGACTGACTTAGGGAGCTTCAGAGAGCACCATTTACCTGATGTTCTCTATTGCTGCACTCCTTGAAAACAGGCAAGACTAGAGGCAGAGTCAGCACCCGGGTGGGTCAGTGAGGAGAGTGCACCCTTTGAGATAGGTAAGGATGGGAAAGTTGTCAATATTTGATAAACTTCACCTATGGTGTCCATCTAAGGATTTGATTAAATAGGAAATGCATCCACCCCACACACTAGTACTTACACAGAGATCTAGAAAAGTGAATTTGGGTGAATTTGGGGTGGCTTTAGATTCCCTGCTTTCCCTCCTTGTCTATTTGCCATGCTTGCTGCCGAGGCTTTGGCAGGAGGAAGGGGTCAGTCCACCACCCCTGTTCCTTGTGATACCTGGACTTGTGGAGTTCCAAGTAGTGCTGGAACAGTTGGTGCTGCTGGGAGAGGTGGGTGAACTGTGGCTGAGGGCTGGTGGGTACAGTACAGAAAATCACATTTTGCTGTGCCAGGGCTGCACAACGACTGCCTGAGCTTATCATGCTCTACGAGCTCATGGTGGAAGCAGCAATGTAGTTGATGTCTAGAAAAGTTTGGTAAATGTGTATGTCAGTATTGGAAATTGTAACTACAGAGCCACAGGAGGCTGGAGAAAACATAGTCAACAGTAAGCTAAGGGAAATACTCTATTTGGAGGCCTCTTTCAAGCAGTAAGTAAATAGCAGAGTCTGTAAGACTTTGTTGTGTGTCATGTTAAGTACAGTCAATACTGAGTCATAAATTATAGAGATGCATTGTATAGATCAAATTGTCGAGGGTGTCATATGAGTATTTGTTCAATGTGTAGTTTCCTATTGCAGTTTCTACTCCAGTCTTTGTCCTGGAATTACTCTTTTTTTTGGACTAGGTGTTCCCAGGGGCAGTCAGTGAGTAGGAACTCTTTAGAGGTCTCCCAGATACACTCATGGTTTACCTTCCATGTGTGCTCCTTTGCTTTTATGTATGCTGGATTTTACCTCCTGTTGTTCTTTGTAGTTTGCCAGGCCCTTGGCAATTTCTCAATGTTTCCTTTAAAGATGATGATTCAGCCCACAAATTTCCAAATAACCCAGTGTTCCTTCTAAATTCTTCTGAATGAAGGTGCTTCCAACATCTCTAAATACCTTTGTTAGGTAGTGGCTAAGAGAAGCTCAACTTCTGTGTGTCTTTGAGTTTATTCTGTTCCAGTCATGTCTCTTGTCCTCTGACACACTGTGCTGTTCTTTACAGTGCAAGCTTTTATTTCTCATGTTTCTAAAACAAAGCTTAGCCACCTGACCTAGGACACAGCATTATGTCAAAAAATATCATTCAACCCATTTTGTTCAAAATGAAGCTGCTCCCACTGCAACTATATAAAAATTACTCAATTTTTTCTCAACAGATGAGCATCTATGTTCAGTACACTCATGTACATTTGTTTATTTCCAATTTTCCAATTGAGTGTTTTCATTGTTGAAGATGTTACTTTAACACGTTGTGGCATCAGAAAACTTATTTGTTTATTCCAGAAAACAGCAATTCCTATAAAACAGAAAAGGTCCTGAAAATCCATCTCAGTATTCTAAGATGTTTTGTTCCTTTTTACTCCTTGAAAGGAAAATTGATTGATCTAGGAATTTGCACAGAATTTTCTCTCACTTTACTGCAAAGCCCTAGAAGTAAATTATAATAATCTTTTCATACACTTTTTACTGCATAAATGTGTGTGTGCTAACAAAACATGAATCTTGGCTTTTACATTAATGAAGATGGTCTGCAATACAAGTGGGATGTTTCAAAACATTTTAAAATCAGAAATTTTAAATAATTTCTCTCTTTACTTAGAAGACAACCAAATTATGTGAACCAATTTCTGAGACTATATTTGTAGCACTATCTTTAGTTTCTATTTTGGTGGTCCGGCTTGGAGCCAGACTTTTTTTTGTTAACTTGGAGTTTTTCTGGCACAATGCAAAAATGGCTCTCTTTTATTATTCTAAACATTTTGCAAAATCTCCTTTCAGAGTAGACTTTCCTAAGTTAACCAACACTCGTGCAATTATTTTCTACTTCTTAGAAAACCACAGCTGAAAGGAGCAATTAAAAATTGATTGCTGCTTTAAACTTAGAATTTAATCTGTATTTAACACGAGTAAGCTCTCATTTCAGGATTGTTTGATGCAGCCATTTCCCCTGTCAATGTTAATCATACTTTTGGGTATGTGCAGGCTGTAAGATCTGGCACTTAGAGATTTAGAAATCATGAGCTCTCATACAAGTGATTCCAGATGGGTGGATTTTTCCTTTGGAGACTCCTGCGCCTTTCCCAAGACATAACTTGTACCAGCCAGTCCACACTTGCAACACGAGGTCTCTCGAGAGTCATTTGGTGTAGCTGGGCTGTATTGTGCTCAGTAAAGGTGCACTGAATTTCTCTCACCCAGACTTGCAAGCAGATTAATACTAGACCTTACCAATATCAATATACAAAGAAACACATGAAAAATCCCAGGTGACTCCCTCACACACTCCTGCACTTTCACTGTCACTCCAGGAGCAGGGAGGTGCTCTGTGCAGAGACAACTGAGCTACTCCTGGCATCAGGTGCCACAGAGCTGTGGCAGCATCCTGGGGATGTGAGTCATGGTGAGTCCCAGCCCTGCTCACTATAAAAACAGCATCCCCAGCAAGACAAGAACACAAAGGAGGTGAACTGCTCCTCACCTGTGGCTTTTGGGCAAGGCAGATGTCTACCACTCTAGTATGATGTACAGAGCTAGGATGTGCTCACAAAGCAGTCTAAGCAGAGGAGAGAGCACTGGACCCAAGTCACACCAGTCCCAGCCATGGCAATGACTAAAGCTGCATGTAACTGAGCTGTGAGCTACTGTACAGGATGCCAAAGCATTGTGCCTGCCTACCTTTACTTTCCTTCCTCCCAGAATATAAAGCTAAGTTTATACAAATGTAAAACATTCATATGCAAATACCAAGTGGATTTCATTCTCAAGTTTTAAATAAATGTCAATGGTCTAAGCATAAATAATAAATAAATAAATAAATAGCTATATGTGTCTGTTTTATTCAAAGCAGCATTTGCAATTCAGAAATGTTTGTTGGAGCCATCAGTCTTTTCTCAGCTCTCAAGCCGAGAGAGAAACTTCTGTCGGGAAGTCAGCTGCCTCAGGTGGTGCACTACTCGGGTATGTTACATCTATTAACTGCAACAGTAGTCCCTCTCTGAAATTTGGGGTGGTGGAGGGGCTCATCTGCCATCTCACAAGTGCATCACAAACTGGTCATGTAAAATTAAGGCACCTCCAGTTGGACGAACTTGGGCAAGCAGCACGAGGACAGAAAATCCAATCACAAGCAGTTGTAAGACAGTGTCTTTTGGTTGCTCTCTTGGTGTTCATCATTCCTATATCCCAGGAAAAGTTCCCACCATAAAAAAAAAGAAAATTGTTGTGTTTTAAAACAGGATGAAACACCACATGCTCAGGGTTGGTATCCACAAAGTTTCAATGTAAACTTTTATTTCCTGGACAATAAGAGTTTTCACTACCCTCCTGAGGCATTGATAGTCTTTTCATTCTCCCAGCAGACTACAGAGCAAATAACAAAAGAGTACTTTGATTTTTACCAACTTTTAGTAGTTGGCCTCTTTTCATAATGCAGAAATTATTACACAGATTGTTGTTTTGGCTGGAGGAATAAGTTCTAACACTTTGCAGATCTTTAGCAGGGAGAATTTGTTCTGGAGGCACCATGTGTCCTGGGAAAGAGATGAGAAAAGATAAACAAAATAAATGAACATTTGGAATGGAAATGGTGAAGTAGTAGCTGCCCAAAGTGGAAAGCAGAATTCAAGTGTATTTCTTCTCATGCATGTGCAGTAGTTTGGCATCTTGAATCAAAAAAACACACAGAATCTGCCCATTCTTTCCAATAACTGCCTGCATGCTCACATCCAGCTAACATTTGCATTTTCAGTTTAAGCAGGAACACTTTAACAAGTCCTAGCAAATCAACAGACAATATATTGCAATGGTTAATTTGATGTATTGTTATTCTTTTTTGTTCCCATTACATTTAGATACTAATTTGTTTTCAGCTTGAAAATCCAAGAAGGTGTGAGCTCTGCTTTTGATTAGCTATATATACCCATCCCGCAGTGCATCACTAGTTGGTAAGATTTTAATATAATAAAAGCTAGACTGAGTTACAGAGCTAGCAATGGATCCGGCCTCCTTTGTGTTGATTACAGGTCAGCTGAGGATTTCTGGTGTGGGAGGATGTATGGCTGATGTGAATCAGCAAAGCTGGCCCTACACTGCACTTATCTGGCCCCCTGCCAGCATCAGAGCTGTGCCTGCTGGAAAGCAAGAGGTCACATTCAGTGCACTGCTGAAATATGCCTGTTGTTGGCACGAGGGTCCCTATGCAGAGCAGTGAAATTCAGTGCAGTCCTCAGGATCAGCCTGGCAGCAGCTCATGGATATGAAGGCACTTTGTCATTCTCTTCAGAACATGCTGAACAAATCCTTAGCCAAGCAATGGAAATGAGGCATATTTCCAAGTGTCAGTGAGTTCCAGGGAAGTGCTTGTCAGTAACTCTGTGCGTACTCCCGCTCTGCCTTGCTAAGAGATGTGTTTCAGTCTGTCCTGGAGAGGGATCAACTTGCAGCTTGCAAAGTACATGTAACTGCTCTGACTGAGCCTCAGATTGATTTTTCAGCTCCTTAAACAAACCAAGAGATTAAAAGAAAAAACACTCTCAGACTGTTTAAGCTGAATTTTTGTTCTTCTGAAAAAATAATTATTTCCTTTTAAGCAAAGAATTTCTAGAGAAAATTATAGGGAGTAAAAGGACACAGACCTATTTCTTACTGATAAGGAAGAGACAATAGTTTGAGAAGGCGCCTTTCAAGGACACCATTTACTCCTTGTCAATACAGACCTACAATACTGATTTAACTATTAAATCTGAACCATTCCTCTTCTAAAGTTTCTTCTGAGCTTTCTCTTTACACATAGTACTATGCTGTTTGTTTCTTTCTGCCTCTATCGTTAATCCCTTCTTTAATTTTTTAAAATTCTTTTTATTTTTAATTTGATTAAAAACACCACTGTGAAGTTTTTTTCCTTTTTTCTTACCACTGAGACTTTCACCATGCAACCCAATTTCCCACGACTGTCTCCTCATGTTGTATGCCAGATCCTCTCTACACCCCATTTCCCCATACCACCATGCTCTGCTTCTCTTGGTTTGCCCGAGGCTCTGCATGTCTTCCCACCTGATCTTTCTTTACACTTTTGAGTGCCATGAATGTGCCTCTCAATCTCAGTTGATCCTCATGCTTGCTCACAATGTGTCCCTCCCCAGGCCCCCACCCCAGTCACCACTGGCCTCCCTGCCACCTGCATTTGCTCTCCCAAATCAGCCCTCAGACTAGGAGATTCTCCTGTTCCTCCTGATGCTTTATTTTCCTTCTCACCCACTGACATTCCTAAACAGCCTGGGATCTGGGTGAAAACAGGGCATTGGTTTTGCAATAAATAAATAAATACATCTTTAAGGCTTTTCATGTCTCTAATTGGCAAAGAAAAACTGAAAATACTCTTGTCCTAATAGAAATCACAGAAGTAAAATGACACACAGTGGGAGTAAGGAGGACAGATGAAGCAAATCACAGAACCACATAATGGGTAAGGTTGTAAGGAACCGCAGTGGGTATCAGCTCCAACCTCCCTGTTCAAGCAGAGGCACATGGCACAGGATTGAGTCTAGACAGTTCTGGAATATCTCTGGTGAGGGAGACTCCACAGCCTCTCTGAGCACTCTGTTCCAGTGCTCAGTCACATGCACAGCAGAACAGTTCTTTACCTTCAGGTGGAACTTTCTGTGCATCAGTTTCTGCCCATTGCCTCTTGTCCTATTGGTCAGCACCACTGAGCAGAGCCTGGCTCTGTCCTCTTGACACCCTCCCTGCAGATACTGACAGACATTGATGAGATCCCCTCTCAGTAATCTCTTCTCCAGGCAGAACGGGCCCAGCTTCCCCAGCTCTTCCAAGAGAGATGCTTCAGTTCCTTAATCATCTTTGTTGCCCTCCAGTGGATCCAAGTCCAGGAGCTCCATGTCCATCATGTGCTGAGGAGCCCAGAACTGGACACAGCACGCCAGATGTGCCTCACCAGGGCTGAGCAGAAGGGCAGGATCACCTCTCTCAACCTGCTGGCAATGCTCTTCCTAATGCCCCCCAGGATCTCATTGGCCTTCTTGGCTACCAGGACACACTGCTGGCTCATGGACAGATGATTGTCCACCAGCACCCCCAGGTCCTTCTCCACAGAGCAGCTTTACAGCAAATCAGCCCCCAGCCTGTACTGGTGTAGGGGGTTATTGTAAATTTTGCAGCCAAGTTTTTGTTAATTGGTATTGCAATCACTCGATAATCTCCTTTTTCAGTGTATCCTATATGCCCATAATATTACCTAAACTGGCTTAAGTGTTCCACTTCCAAGCCTTTAGGTCTACAGCTGCCATGTTCCAGGGAAGCAGAGAATGCAGGAACTCAAAGGAAATGCCACAAACGCCTGCTGACTGTTTTTTCCAACTATTCCCACAGCAACCTACGGCCTTTTTTTGTGGCTCCAGCATATCACACTGTGAGTCTGCAGCCAGCAGCACATGTGTGTAAGCAGGTGAATGATTATCTGGAGAGATGAGGCAATGTGGTTTCACAGCAATGTGAAACCTCCCTAACTCCATGACCTCCTTGATAAGACCGGCCCCACTCGGCGTAGATGATGCACTCCTTTTGGATGACAAGGTAGAGAAATGTATCTTGGAAATATTCCACAGATCTGAAAAGGTTTGAGGCACAACTTTGTGAGCAGCTTTTATTTTTTACTTCAGTCACAAGCTTATCATGGGTATGACTATGGGAAAGGGTTATGATCAAGAAAATTAGGAGTGCATTCAGGTTTGCTACTAGGAGAAAAAAACAGCAGCAGTCTGTGATAACAGAGCGTTGTAATTAAGCCAGGTGAAAACTAAAACCACATTGAAACTCTCCCATAATTTGAGGTCTTTGAAATCCCAAACTACATCTAATTTTTGTAGCTTAAGCTGAGACTGCTGTTTGATGCCTTAGCTATCTGTCTTAGGCTGAGGTCACCTGTGAATCAGGGGTGATCTGATGACTGATATCACACCACATGTGCCTTCCCTGCTCGCCCCAGGACTAATGCATGGACAAGTCTGAAGATTACTTTCAAAAAACCCATAAATATATCAGTTAAAATAATTAGTTAAGATATTCCACTTTATAAAATATACTGCTCCTCATTTGTAGCAAATTCACTTTTATAGCATTTTACCAAATGAGCTTAAGTCAAAATCATTCTCTTGAAAAATGAAGCATGCTTTTAAAACCTATTAAGGTCCCCAGTCTGTTTCAACCTGGAGGGAGCAAGGCAAATGAGAGACTGACTTGATCCAAAGCCATCTGACTTCAGAGAGAGTTTTGCTCATTTTTGGATTAGGTTCTCCCATAAAAAGTTACATAAGTCATGGTAATGGATACAGAAGCTGTATTACTGGATCACCTGGCAGCAAAATCTGATATCAGATGTGAACACCTCTGCATTATGCTGAATCAGAGTGAAAAATATGTTAGGCATGTTGTTGATTTCTTAACAGCCACAGGAGGACAAACAATACCAGAGCCAAAATAAAGTGTTATAATACTTTATGTAATATATTACATATAGCTTATATAATAAGAATTCAACCGTCTGTGTAAGTCTAAGACAAGACATACCTCCTACATACATTTTTTTGAACCATTATGAACCAGCACAGTGAGTTTGCCCAGCACCCTGCAATTTGTGTCTATTAAATAGGGCATGAAACTCCCTAAATAATCATGTCAAACCACAGCCTGAGCTCATAATAAAACAAGCTATTTCAAACAAAATTTCAGTCTTACAAGCACAGTCATGTAGCTGAAGTGTCAGAAAACATACACGTGGTCAAGGGAACCCCTCATGTGCTCAGAATTAAGTAATTAGCTGAGAAATTGCACAAAAGGGACATTAATCCATGATTTCCACATTTCACTTTGGCCATAAACCTGGCAATGTTTAGCTAATACCTCAGAGATCATTCCAGGCTGGAAGGATATCTTTCCACCCTCAGCTGGAAATATTAAACAAGAAGAAGTTTTCTGTATGGTGGGATCCAAACAGTGCTGCTATAACATATTTGTGCAATCTCTGCAGGTGGGGTTCTCAAGAGGTTCATGTACCAGAAGTCCAGAGGCTCTCAGCAGTATCAGAGGCACACTTTGCACCTGAAAATATGAAAGGGGCACATCCTAGAAGAGTGTTTCCCTGTTGTGAAAATATGAAGTGCTGTTTATTTCCTTATGTGGCTCTTTAATAGAAGAAGCCAAATATCAGGAAGAATGTTTGCATGTGCCTCCACAAGAATCAAGGATGCCCTTGCAAATTATCTGCACCAAAAATCATCTATTTGAAAAATGTTGTCCTATAACATAATTAAAAAAAAACCCAATTGAAGTCTTGGAAATATAACAGCATGCTTAAATGACACTGGAAAAAACACAGAACTATGCTAGACTGAGAGAGAATATTCTGGAAGTTATACTTTTGGCTCTATTCAGCCCTATTAATTAAGAGGACTAATCAGTGTGTTACAGAAAGTTTTACTATCTTCCCAAACTCCTTTGAGATCATTACTAAAGG